ATGAGAGTGAAGGGGAAGGAAGCAGTGGAAGCAAAGAAATGAAAGAGGACAAGATACCTATATTTCTCTCTGAAAACCAATTCTATGAACTGGAAAAGGTGACCAGCATGTGGCAGCATCAACTCAGGCTTGGAATCTTTGAATCCCTGAAGAATACCAGAATAAGCTTCAAATATGCTACGCTTAAGCTGGTTGCCATAATCCATCAACTCCTCATCACTATTGTCCATCTGAGCACAGACCTCAGCAGCACTCCGCATCATTGCTACTGTAGGCTCAATGTACTTGGAGAATTGCTCGCCTATAGCAAGAGCAATGTCCCCAAAGCAGGAGAATATGGGAGGCTTGACCGACCGGTTGAGTTCAGCACTTTGGAGATTGCAGACAAGATGGTTCATGATCCCATCACAGTATGGTAAAACCTTGTCCTCCAGTGCACGGCAAATGTCACCGATCACCCCAACTGTGATGGCACAAACCTCGTACTCCTCAAAATTCTGTAGTCCCATCTCCAGGTATTTGTATAACTCAGGCATATACTTCTCGAATTCTGGACCAGAGGCATGAGCCAGTGCACCAATTGCAAGCATTGCTTCCTCATGCACAGTAGAGCTGCGGCAAGCAAAAACCCTGAGGAACAGAAACATAATTGGATCTGCTGCCTGAAGTATACTGGGCTTGGTCTCATCAGTGCTGCTAAGCTTTTGGATGATCACCTGGATAACAGCACAAAGGGAAGCTTGCAAGTCCCCTTGCTTCTCTCTATCATCTGATGAGACAATTTGAAGCTCTAGTGTCTGCCCCAACTTATGCAAGATGCTTTTGAGCAGCTCCAAAATAATTAGTGATGTCTCCACAACATTGGAAGACCTAACAACCTCGTTCAATGTCTCATAAGCAGAAGTCCTAAGCTTAAAGTCGCTCCCATCTGTCCGCTCAGCAGTTTTGAGAAGTTCAGAGATAATCCTAGGGATGTGTTGAGTTAGATGCGAGGAATTTGTTCCAGCATCTTCATATCCCTGTGCAAGGTAATAGATTGCCCCACAAACCTTTTCAGCGACATTTGGAGCATCATTAATACTCTCCAGCAAGACAGTTACAATTCTTTCCAGCTTCTCCAGGGAAATCACAGAAAATCCACTGGCAGGACAGTGCAAAAACTCAAATATACGACTAAGCGTCCAGGCAGGTGTGTCCTTGACATTATTATTTTTATCCCTCATTGCATTAAGCAGAAAACCCAAGCCATTAGTAACAAGTGGACCCAATGTTTCAACGCTAGGGCCTTCTAGAATTGAGCCAAATGCATATGTGGCTGCCTCGCGACAATGCCAATCTGGCTTAAGAATATTACCCTCGACAAAGGGCATTACAAGTTTCACAATAGAATCCCCGACAGTTCTAGCAACAAGACCAAGACAGGTGCCCCCCGCCATGGATATATTCCAAATGCTATCATCCTGATCCTGATCCTCCTGTTTCAACATAGTATCCAACAACAAAGGAACAAGATATGGGAGGGCCTTTTCTATGAAGCGTGAATGAGCAGACCCAGAATCCCCACCTTCAACAGTCCGATATTCTTGAAGCTCTATCTCTTCATCGCAGATGGAGCTCCAGAATTCAATTGCTTGGAGGGCAACACTCTCTTCATCCCCTTTCACAGCATTTGATGTTAGCTGGAAGAGGGTCTGCATATAAGGTTCAAGCACCTCATAGTATGTTGATGCTATAGAAACAAGACACTCGAAAACAGCCTGCCTGATTTCAGCCTCTTTGGAAATTGCTGTTTCACATACCACCTTCATGATGTAATTGCGCTCCATTTCATTGTCAAAGTTGGTCTGGGCAAAATCTAATGCATTATACAAGGCCTTTGTTGCTGCAAGACGTACTTCATGACTGTGTTCAGCAAGGTTCATGCCTTGGACAACAGCAGTGAGAACAGAGTTAACTTCATCCTGCACAAGATCCTGATGCGATATCACCTCACAGACATATCCAAGAGTTTCCAGGGTCCCCTGTTTCAAAGCTGCAGGACTATCTTGCTGGGTCATATTATTAAGTAATGATCCGATGAGCTCAGGCCACTGCTTCCGTGGAATCTCAATGGAAGCAACTTTTGCAATTACTTGGGCAGAAGTGTGCCTTGCTTCCGATGCAGATGACCCAAGCGTTCTCAAGAGTGAGTCTTTGATTTGTGATTTGATAGATTTTTCAATTGCCATCCATTGTTGAACAAGATGTTCCTTTCTCACAGAATCTTTAGCATCTAAGGAGTTTTTAAGAACAATACCAGCCAATTTACGTGATTCTAAAGGCTTTACATTGTTTGCAAGCTCCACTGACAAGGATAGAAGGAAAAGGGGCAAGTTCTGCTCTTGGAACTGCCTAAGACTGGCCTCTGCCTGCGTACGGATATTTGCATCCGGTGATTGGGCAGCCAATAGAAACGGAGTGATCTCCAATGCCATTGCTTTCAACACTGCAAGAGAAAACAACACGAAGTCCTATCAGTGAAAGTAGTAACAATAAATCAAACAACAGCAAAATGAATAATTGAAGAACTTGGTAAACAACAGAATGGAATGAGAAAAGAAAGATAAAAACATTAAATGCAATCAAACCCTGAGAGTTGTAAAAACGGGTGAAACCAAATTATTCTATACCATGACAGTATATGCACATGGTAGAATCTACATCAATAAACATCAACGGATCCATCAACAAGATAACACATTCAGTTCCATCTATATGATACCATAATAATTTCAATAACTTATAAATTATATTGAAAATCGAGCTAATAAACAGATAAAATCATAACCAGAACCAAACCATAAACAAATGGAATGTTTAGGAGAGATTTTGAGAAACAGATTACAAAATATTAATTACAGGAATGCCCCATAACCTATGAAAACAAAGGCAGTACAAAATCCTAAATCCATTACAAAATATGCACACATTCATTACATATAAAATATGATATGTAGATCCTACATATTTAACTATCAACAAGACTAATCAAGCAGTCCCAACGATATCTTACTTCAATTACCACAGGAATAAAAAAAATAGATTGTAGCAGATTTAGGCAAGTAATCATGACAGTCCAGACGAACTGATTTTGGCAAAATCAGATCAAATAACAGAAAGTCACAGCCTTCTGCCACCATATACATATTCATAAACTTGGGTTATTAAAAAGAAGTATATGCTAAATAGACAATCTTCTTCGAACAGCAAATGCTTGATCAAATAATAAAATTACCCAACAAAAAAAAAACTCCAACTACTTCTTTAATCTCATTCACTCAATTAAAACAATAAAAATGAAACAGCATTGATTTCCTTCCAAAATTACACACTCAAATACTGCCAAAAAATGCACGAAACAAGAAAAAATGCACAGTCGACTAACGAAAAACAGAAAAGGAGCCCTCACAGTAAAACCATAAAAAATCCCTCACAGAAGATCGAGTGGTAGAATAAAAAAACAGAAATAAAAATAAAGTAATACCTTAAATCAGAGGGAAACCGTCAGCACTAAAAAAGCGTGACCTGCTCTTTCGTTGTTGAAGCTGGAGAGAAGTGGAAACGAAGAGAGGGAAGGGAGAGACAGACTTCAATGAAGAAACTGTTCGATTGATTGATTTCAGGGTTTTGGAAGAAATGTTATTGCCGTTGTCGTTGTTATTTTCGAATGGAATGAAGAAGCGGGAGCCACGAGGAAATGATAGCGTGGAAAAAGGGAAAAACAACGGGCAGGTGTTTTTTTGTCTGCCCCAGTGCTGCCCGACTTCAAAATCCCTGGCTTTTTTGAATTCTCTCATGTGTGAGTCATGTGGCACGCGTGTCAACGTTTAAATTCAATGGGCTTGATTGGGCTTTCCTTTTGGGGATGGAGAGTGGCCGGTTCACTCATGAACTGCTTTACATTATTTTTTTTGGGTTTCTATCTGATTTGGAGATTATTATTTTTTTCTTTTTTGGGTGAGTACCCTTTCTATTTTATTTTGTAGAACAATATGGAGGATGAACTTTTGGTGAGACTTGTCTCAAGAAACTCTTTAAGCCACAGAGCTTGTGCTCCATGCACCATGGGAGTAGAACTTCTAGGCCACAGCCTTTATGTGAAGGATATGATCGTCCGACTGTTCTTGAAACGTACTCCTCTGAATAATTGTATGGATAGGGAAGCTTCTTATCAGAATTATTCAACGCTCAGAGCGCAGATATGCAGTGATATCTGGAAGAAACCGCTCCATCGGGAAATTTAGAGACCAGTTTTCAGCTGAGTCCACACTATCTAAATTTAGCCTGTCTAATCCGTGCCCTTCCACAGATTTCTGAGCAATATCTACTGCTTCTGTCAATGATAATAGCATTTGAAAACACATCAACCTTTCCACCATTATCGTCGTCATCAACATCAGCATCACAACCATCATCATGATCATCAAGTTGACGATACAATTGTGATCACCGTTTTTTGCTGCTGCTTTTTGTAGATGACAACTGCATGTGGGAGCGTCCGCAGAGGAGTTTCTGCTTCATGGATATCATTTCTATCCCTATCCGTGGGGTTGCCAGGAGATTGTTCCCAACAAAATCGAATCCTATCTCTAGTATCCTGCAAAGCAGCCAGTGAATTTGTTGCACAATAAATTTCTATATTACCAGTGTGGCCGCCTAGTCGTTAAGAGTGGCAGGTTTAAGTTCACTTTCTGGGACGATTAACATCAATACGTTGCTCCCTAATCTCCACCTTATGAAATGTTCACAGGCAAAAGGTAGGATCGCCATAGTAGTTCAGCTCCATTTGTGTTAATTTCAACAATTAATGATCCTAACTGGCATATCGAACTTTATGGCTACTGAGTTTTGAGAAATAATTTATCTTGCAATGATTTCTAGATGTTCTAGAGTCTAAAATCTGATACATTCCTTGAAAAGTATGAAGAAAAAGGAAGTAAATAAGTACTGAAACAGAGACGTGGAAAATTGGGTATGAATTTTATGAGAAAATTGTGAAGCACAAAGAACAATAGACACTACAGTATGACTTCAGCAAAAATCAGTTAATCCGTAAGCCTCTTAACAAGGCAGACTTCAGCATACGCTGCCATTCATGTGCATGTTTCTTTCAACAATGATACACTCATTTCAATCTTTGCTGAAGTGAAATATGGGGCAGTGGCAGGATATCACATACATTTACAAGCTATCCCACTTTCTACAACCCCTTTCTTGTTAAATTCAAATTATCCCTTTCTTCCTCTGCTGAAATTCCTTTCACGAAAAGGACACTGGGATGTCTGTGTATCTATGGATAAAATCCAAAAAAAAACCCTAGGAAAACTGGCCTTTCTAGCACCAAATATAAGAAAATGTGGTGGCAATGATGTGATTGCCCAGATACTAAAGATACAAGCATGGACTTCTGGTTCTCATTTTTCTTGTTCATTACCCTGCCGTATTCTCTTATAGAGCTCAATGGTACCTTTGTGATTGGGATCAAGACAGAGAGCTGCTTCACAGTCTCGAAGGGTGGAGCCATTATCACCCATTGAATCATAAAATGCTGCTCGAAGATGCAGCAGCTGCAAGTCTGGCTTGAAAGCTATGACCCTTGTAAGCTCTTTTATGGCTTCCGCTTCTTTGTGGTCATCCATTAAAACTGAAATGACACAGAATTAGTCTTAGTAGTTTATAATTAAATGTGTATTCACTCACATAATCCACACTGAATTCCAACTACACAAAATGCAATGATAATCCCAATGGTTTAATATGCAATGATAATCCCAATAGTTTAATATAAAAGTATTTTTCAGTTAGATCATTAGCCTTAAGCCAAAATATGACCAGCTCAACTTTAAAGTCAACAGAAAACATGTATTCTGAAAGAAGAAGAAATAAAAACCAAACTAACTTTCTTCTAATAACTTTTAAGCAAAAATCAAGTGCTTTTCATCTGATTATGCTAATATTAATCAAGATGACCTGAAACTGTAGCATGGAATAAACAAAAAACAAGGAACATGGTCATGCATACTTCAGAAGCATATCAGAGCAGCATTCAAGAGCATGCATTCTTCAATACAAACAAATAGTGTACTTCCTTTGCCTAGAAAAGTCCATCATTCAACTAATCTGACGTTTAACTATAGATGTAATCCCATCTAATCAGACAACTTTGAACCCCAGTCATTCTAGTCAAGCACCCTACAGTTAGATCAATAAGGACAATTTAGGCAGGAGGATGTGCTTTGAAGCCAACCATTTATTAAAAGCTCAGAGTGGGAGACTGGATTTTAAATAATTAAGGAGCCACAAATTTCTATTTCTATGACAAGATCATAGATTAAACAAATGTCTCAACAAGGTGAAAACAGTTTTTTAGTTGAAAAGGCTTACGATCTCGAGATGCAGATCTCTTCAAACAAAAATTGAGATCTATTAAACCTCTAGCAAACTACACAAGCAACTGAAATTTTGTCAAATGCCGAAATCTTTCTCCAACGAAATCAGCCTAACAGTGGTGACTATTTCTCTGTTCTTTCTTCTTCTTTTTTAATGAAAACTAGTTTCAAGATGACCAGAGGGAATACTTCAACAGGAAGCTGAAAGGATACAATTAAGACCACTCTATCAGGCAAAGAATCTCTAACAGGACTACACTCAGTCCTCTAGTCAATGATGTTTAACAATTTTAAGTTAAGAATTAGAATATCTCTGCAACTTCAACACCCAAAGTTTCATAGTTTCAGTGGTTAGTTCACATTTCCAAGATTTATAGCATAATCATTGATAAATGATTGTGAATAACAATCTCAAAGAAAGTAGATGTTGTCATGGAGCTTACCTGCTGCCCTGTGTCTGTATGGATATGTTCTTAGTGGATCTAGTTGTGTTGCCATGCTAAGATCACTTTTTGCCATCTCACGATCACAATACTCTGAACGCTTCTCATAAGCTGAAGCATTATTCCTAGCTTTTTCTATCAGTTTTGTCATCTCATCATATGCTGCTTTCCTTTGATTTTTTAGGTGATGTACACGTGCCAAACCCTGATGTGCTCTTGTATGCTTGATCTCAAGTGCATTCATGTAACAGTCAGCAGCAAGATCCAACTTCTCACAATCAACATATACACTCCCAAGATTGTTCAGTGCCTGGAGAATGGCAAAATTACCCAACTTAAACAATATTGCGGTGCATTCAGAGCAATAGAATTGCATCAAAGTTGTTACTCACTTGTCCTTTCCGAAGACCATCTGAAGGGCACCTAAGAGCTTCCTCCAAAAGTTGAATAACATACTTTGAGGACCCAGGATCAAGACTTGAATCTGCTAAAGCATATGCTTTAAGGAAAAAAGCTTCAAATGATCTCTTAATTGAAATAGACTCCTTGGCCTTGGATAGTGCTTCTTCATGATTTCCAGTGTCATACAAGATCCATCCTTCATAGACAAGTCTTTCATGGTCGGAAGTAGAATAATTTCTAGCCAACCGCAAACTACGCATTGCAGCCTTTTGACAATTTAGCCTATACCATTGAGAAACAAAAGGTTCCATTAATATAGATATAATAAAATATTTAGAACAGTCCAAAAAGAATAAGGTTTGGCGGATAAGAAACTCTTCTGTATCCTAGACTCAGTTATCCACATTAATAGCAATTGTGAATATATCACACAGACATTGTCTTTTCTATTTCCTTTTTTCCTAGATACTTAACATCCATGACAAAGGGACCAGGAGATGGAAAAAAGTGACAGAAAAAGGACCAGAAGAACACTTAACACTTGAATACGAAAACATTAACTTGTAACCAAACCATTAATATATATTAGCATGAAAACCTTACTAATGAAAAGTAGTGATTAATGCTTTAGATGTCAAGAAAAAGGAAAAGTTTCCATCACATAGTTACAGGTTCTAAACTCTGACGATAGATCTTATTACAACCTTTCATGACAAAGAAATACATCTTTCCATAAATCTTCTGTCTTTGCTTTTGCAGTTTCAGCACAAATTTGGAATCCTTCCTAGCTTCTAACCGAGGTCAGTGGTCCAGGACCACTTCATTAAAAACAAAGTCACACAAATAAGGATTTCGATAATGAAACTATGAAAATATTGATTTGATTTTGGAAGGTATGCAGGAGTAGAGCATTTTCACTTCTCTTTTCTCTAAGTTGCCTGTTCTTGTTTTTCCTTCACTACAGCACTTCAGATATTGTTCTTGTTCATAGGGAATCAGAATAGCCACCAATTTCCCTTCTTTTTTCTCTTTAATTAGCCTTTAAACTCTTCCCATCATTAAATCAGTGTTAACTTATATTCCTACATATTTTTGAACTCTTTCCATGCTAATTAAACCATTTAAGGAAAACCTCGATCTCTGTGTTAAGTTGCTGCCCAGAAATTCCAATAATGTTATTACCGTCCTAGACCCCTTTCTCTTATGAACTCTGAGCTCCAGAATACTACACTTTTTAAACGTTGGCTCATCACAAAGTGCTTCTTTGAATAGAAATTCAATCTTTCCTACATCAACAGACAACTGAGTGCACATCATAAGATGATAGAATAAAATATTAAGCAAGAGCTTCCAGTGGCAACCACTGTTGCATTAGCTGTATCCTCCTCCATGACCATAATTACTTGCAAACATTATCCATGTTTTTTTCTTCATTGCTTTTCCACCTTATATACACCTACTTTATGTTATGTTGGACTGTAGGGGAGTCATGGAAGGAAAGCAGGTATGGAGGAGATGGGACAGTGGTTGATGTTTTGAATTACATCTACCAATCATATCATCGCAGTTCCATGCATGACCATTGGAGTCCATTCTATGGATATGAATGCTAGACCACCTTGATGCTTGTGTGTAAAGTCTGCAGTATCATGTTTCAATTATTTAATTACAAAAAATGTTGCATCAAACAATTTAAGTCAATATAAGTTCTGCACATATGCAATATAAGTCTACCAACAATTTCTGTAATTGCAAGATTGAATACAAGTATTATGGAAATAGAAGATGGATTTAAGTTCAAGCCCAGTGCGTTGACATGAACTTGTAGCTAGAATGATGAAAGTACATGGTGTCAATTAGAAAACTTCAAATAGCATGTCTTGCTAGCGCACAAAATGCATTATGAACAGAAAGAATTAGAGCTGATTAATACAGTTAAGCAAAGCATTGGTAAGATTTATGAATTATCACCGTAAAAGGAGGAGAGATTGTCTGAACCGTAGAAGGCTCTTCCAGGGGCCATTTGCCAGCATTTGGTGTACGACAGCTAGGGAGCCTATATCATCAACAGAGGACCATCTATCATACAGTTGCATCCAGCAGTCTGCCTGACTGTATTGCTGAACAAAGGGACAGAGGAGTTCTACTAGTTGGTCACCATGCTTCTTCCCATAAAACATCATGTGATTTGGATCCAAAGTCAAAAGTGCCCGGACATCTCTGAGAGCCCCTTCAAAATCCTCCAATGCCATAGAAATCCATGCCCGTAATTCAAGGCAATCAGGAGAGACCTTGAAACCAATAATTTTATTGAGTTCTGAGATGGCTGGTTCAAGTTTGTCCTCCTGCACCAACAAAACAGCCCGACACTTGTATGGGAATGGAAGTGTTGGATCCAATTCAGTAGCTGTGTTCAAATCCATCAATTTTTCCTTCCCAGTACAATACAAAGACCTCTCTTGATACATCCAACCAACTGGTGAATGATCAGATATCAGCGAGTTCATCATCTTGTATGCTGAATACTTGTGGCCTCGATGGTATTTAGCCCTTGCAACACCCACCGACGAGTATATATGACCTGCTTCGACTGCTTCTTCAAACCAATTCTGGGCATCTTTGTACTCTTTTCTTTCGAGCATAACAACACCTAAAAGGTGATAGGCAAGCTGTTTCTGCCAATCTTCGGTGGCACATTCTCCCAGTCTCTCCAAAAGCATCACAGTGTTGTTAGATTTCATCTCTTCCTCCATAGCAATCTGGCTCAGAAAATAATACAACAAAAATGAAGAATGGCCAACTGAAGCCAATCTCTCCCTGCCCTCAGATCCACACAACAGTCGCATCACATAAGGATTGTTCATTGAAAATTGAAGCTCTCTCAAAAACAACTGTAAACAAGCTGCCACCAAAAGGTTTGCACCCTCCTCCAATCCATACTCAATTAGAATCACGGCACTCTCCATATCACAAACCAAGGATGCCAAATGAGCATCGCAAGCTGACTTCAATTCCTCACAGCAAAACCTGTTTGCCAAAGAAAGAATCTCCAAAACAATCTTTGGACCAAACGTGCCCAATCTTTTCGTCTGGCTAAACACCATCGCCCCACTCATTCCCTCTGCCGATATCCCATTCTGCGTAAAATTTATCTTCTCCCTCCTCGATTCCTTAAACTCCCCATACAGCATTGCTCTAAAAGGTCTAGAAAGTGATGCCACATTATATCTTACACATCTAATTTCATCATCACCAATGCAAAATGACATATCACATCCATCATCACCACCACCATCCTCATCAGCATCAAAAGTCAAGTATTCTTCATCCCCCATCAAAACATCCTCCTCCGGCTGCCATCTTAAACACACGCAAGGATCCTTCACTGAGTCGGGATCATATCCCAACATCAAACAGGCCCTAGGACATTCTAAATTTCTTCCACAGCAATCCATAGCCGACAAACCAATCAATTCATCCTCCCTCCTCTCAAACTTCAACCACGAAGCCAAAACAACCTTGGAATGCACATCCACAGCATGCTGCCTCGCACTCCTTAGACTATTCCGAAACAATTTCGGATCAGACAAACCCTTAAACACCGCACATTGCTCAAGAAATCTGTCTGATTTCTCCAGTTGCGAAGAATTCTGGACTTTTGTATAGACATCAGCTAATGATTCGACGAAATCCACAGATTTAAGACAAGGCTCAATCCTTGGCTCGATGAGATCAACGGTCGGAAGACCAGCTGGCAATAAACTTTCGACAGAGACATTTGTTCTTGTCGTTTGGTTATGGTTAGTCGGTGGATGGGAATTTCGACTCGATTTCGTCCGAATTGAATTAGCTCTTAGATCTTGTAGATGTTGTAAGAACTTCCCTCCAACTTTACCGCCATAACCACCGCCACCGGCTTGTCCACCGGTTGGATTGAAAGCATAAACTTGAGTTGCTTTACATCCTTCCGAGAGTTTTAAGCTACGCATTGTTGTGAATATACTGTGTTGCATTTTTATAGAAAATTCACCATAAAATTGCCAATAATATCAAAAATAAATAAATAAATGATGAGGGGATTTCAGAGCAAAATTGTATCTAGATTACCTCGTTTTAGCCTGCAAAACCACCGTATATACAGAAAATGGAAGCCAAAAAAAATGTGAAAAAAGGAGAGACGATGGTAGATGCAGGCTAATGGGATTTGATTTTCCCAATAAAGTGGAATTAGTGCCCAAAAAAAAAAATTGTGTAATTGAATTGGATTTTCTTTTTCTTTTTTGTGTTCTTCTATACAAGTGTTGGCGGCCTACCAGATTTTGATGAGGTGGAGGAAACGGTCACTCTCTATGTTTTTTATTTTTTTTATTTTTTGTATTCAATGTGCAAACCTCTGTGTGTTTTAACTTTTATGTTGTTCACGAGTGCCACGTGTTTTTGTTTTTTTTCTAATTTTGTACTTGTTTTTATCTTGACCCCGAGAATGGCAAGAAGAGGCCTTGTTTGGCTTGGGTCTCCTTTTTGTCATCACCGTTGATGGTTGTGTATCCTCAAATCAATGTCAGTACAACGAAATTTATTTTATAATAGTTGTTTTTAAAAATATTTTTTATTTAAAAATATATTAAATTAATATTTTTTATTTTTAAAATTAAATAATTAAAATAATTTAAAAATATTAAAAAATATAAATTTAAAACAAAAAAAAATAAAATTTCCAAATATTTTTAAAACACTAAAGAATATAAATATTAAATTTTTCATTTTAATACAGTTGAACCAAGTGGATGATTTTAACTTCTAAAAAACAATTCTTTAAAGTATTAATATCTGAAAAAACTAAAAATAAAAAATAAACTAGCCTATTGTTTAATTCATCTTTTTAAAAATAATAGTTTTAATTATTTTATATTTTTATAATGTCTCAAAAATATTACCACAATTTATCTTTAAGTTTTTTTATTTTATATTTGATATAAATAAACTATGATAATTTATAAAAATAAAAATTATCTATACTTGATAAGAAAAAAGTAACCTCTAAAATAAAATAAAAATAAAAATGTATCAACTAAAAAGAAAATTTTGAGATTAAGTATTTGCATACTTATTGATGTTTTTTAAAATAAAATTTATATTTTCATTTAGTATTTAATTACCATTAACAACTCTTTTTTAGTTTATTGATTCATGTATTTTTTTAATTTTTTTATTAAAAGTAAACAGTACCTTTGTGTTTCCCTATTAAAAATATTTTGACATAATAAAACACATTTATAATAATGATATATTTTTTACTGCATTAAAAATCTACTTAAAATCATATACATGGCCTAGCGTGTATTATAAGGATAATTAAAAAAATATTAGATAAATATAAATCAAGATATATAATCTATTATTTAATTATTAATGTTAAATTTTATATAAGAAAAATAATATTTAAATTCTATAAAAAAAATAGTTTTATATGATATTTCTCGTATTTTTTTAATTTATTTTTCTCAACCTATTTTTAAACATTTCCCATTAACTTTTTTGCCGATTACTATCGCTAAAATGAACTTTTGCTAAAGAAAACCTTTAAATGAACGAATGAACAAAAGAATTCCAGCTGAAGAGTCCTACTATGTTCAATCTCCAGCCATGGGTAAAATAAACTCCATATTTATAGTTATTAAATTGTTGTAATCACCTCCACCATATTTACAGTCAAGCTACAGCTCCCGAATTGCAAGGTTCTTTCAAAAAATCAATATGCATCAGCTAGACTTTTAATTTTTGAATTAATGATATGTTTAGAGATGTGGTTAAAATTGCAATTAAAAATATTTTTGTTTAAAATTAATTTTGTTTTATATTTTAAAATTATTTTGATATAATAATATTAAAAATAATTTTAAAAATATATTTTAATATATTTCCAAACAACATATACTTCAAAACATCATGGCTGTTATATTTTCAAACACTCCATTCAAATAATGGTTTCATTAAACAAAGTTTCCCAAGTGAATCAACATCACAAGAGCCTCGTGAAACAAAGAGATTAACGGGCTTTTTATTTTAAAATGGTGTTTCTATTAAGTCAGTAAAAACCCTAATCATTTTCATGGGCAGGATTTATTTAGGTTATCTCAGCTAGTGAAATTGCTTTAATGACTTCATATAAACACCATTTTATTTGGAAGAGTAGATATTGCTGGTGAGTACATGCATTAGCTCCAAACTTGATTCTAATCATTTTTGGGACAAGCTCAACTATTGCTCACTGTTTAAGATGCAAAACCAAGAAATGATAAATAAATAAAAAAGACAAAATTAATGTTAAAGAGTCTTTTGTTCTTTTCTACATGGACAGCTAAAGATGACACAGATATATGTGCAATAAAAAGGAGAGAATCATTTATTAAATGCATACAAAAAAGTACTGAAAATAAGGATAACGACATCCACATACAATTGAGTAGAAAGTCTTGGATGTGCATCTCCAATCTCTTGTCGCTCTTAATGATTCAGTTGTCTACCACTACTATATTCTATAGAATTTTGATGGAAGTTTTACAAATATATAATTTTTTTTATATGATGAATAATGAGTTGGGTATAAATATTAAGAAATTTGACTTTCAAATATCTATTTTAATTTATATTTGATTTTAATTTATTTTTATATTAGATTCTATCCTGTTTTTTATTGCTTTTTATATTATTTTAGTTTCTTTTCTTATTGTTTTTTTAATTTATTTTTAATACTTAGTATTTTATGATTAAGAATTTTATTTTTTTATTTTTTAAAATTTGACATCAATAAAATTATTATTGGACTCATCATGAGTTTTAAATATTAATATGGATTTATTTCAATATTGTTTTTTAATTATTTATGAAATTTTAACTTTTTTTTAATTTTATTGTTAAAAATTTAATTATTAAGAATCGATTTTTGTGTTTTTTCATGTTTTTCATTTTATAGAGTTATTCCAACAATATACCCATTGCAAGGTTAATAGATTAACTTGTTTAACTAAATTTTTTTTGTTTATTTTTTATTATTTTTTTATATTTTCCCTTTCAATTTTGTGTTATTGAGCTTTCAATTTGTTTTTTATTCCAACCATATACCCATCTAGATTTTGCATATTAATTTCTTTATTGATTTGAATTGTTTTTTTATGTATATTATTAAAATTACATGAATGTATTAAATCGGATCAAATCAATTAATTGAGTCTCAATTTTTTATTTCAAATCAATTAATTGAGTCTCAATTTTTTTTTTTGTTTTTTATCTTTTTGGGAATATTTGCTCTTTTATTTTTATAATGAAAAAAAAATTAATTCGGCTTACTATGGAGCGCAAGCCACCCATTTAGCATTCAACCGTCTAGAAAATTTATGATTTATGGACATGATATATTCTACTTCATTGGTAATCCTGGTTTCTATCCTAATATTTTCTTGTAGTGAGACTATCAGCAATTGAATGCCTTTCTTTTTATCAACAAAATATTTTCAATGCCATTATTACTATTATTCCTCTTAATTTTTTATTTTTTTTACAAGAGACTTGAACTCAGGCCTCTCAATGAATGATGCAATGGGCATGGAACTCTGTATTGGAGGGTTTTTCTCCCCTCTAATTACAAAGGATTTGAACTTAAAATCAGTTTTTCTTCGAGAGATGATTGATTGAGCTACAAATTCATTGATATGAAATATAGGTGAGAAAAAAAACTGCTAAATGAGTTACTGTAACGACAAATAATCTATCTCAGTGATTTAACTATATGTAAAGCCACATCCATCTCATTGATGCAATGGGCATGAGACCATGTCTCGTTCGTTTGCTCTTTATTTCCAAAATAAAAAATGGTTGGACTATTACCGGATGATCTTCTTTTTTTATTTTTCGAGATGAGGGTAAAGAAATTACAACTTATTTGCCCAGCAAGTAATTAAAATAATATCAATATACTCTGAAACACAATGTTAAAATATTTTAAAATTAATATTTATAATTTTAATAAAATAAAATAAAAAACACCAAATAAAACGAAATTAATATCCTTATATCTAACTACATCAACAAACACTATTTATATCCTTCTTCTCTAGCCTCCATTTTCTTCCAAAATCTTCTATCCTAAAATCTCATCAAATTTTTCAAGCTTTTTTTCTCTCTCTCATTAAAATAGCTTCAATTAGCTTTAACAATTGAGTGTATTTATTTTTATATTTCAAAAATATTTTTAAATTTTTTCATTTTTATATTTGCTTCAATTATTTTTTTTTGGTATTTTCTTTTGATATAATGATATATAAAATAAATTTTAAAAAATAAAAAATATATTTTTAAATAAAAAATACTTTAAAAAACAATAACTGGTTCAAAAAACTTCAATACTCTCCCATCCATTAATTGTCTTTCTATAATGTCTTTCAATGAAAACAATAAAATCTTAAATTTTTTTAAAAAAATTATATTTGGAATTGTGATAATGATGATAATTCAAAATGTTTTTTTACTTAATAATATATTAAAATAATTATTTTTATTTTTAAAAAATTATTTTTTATTTGAAAACATTAAAAAAAAAATTTAAGCAACAAAAATTAAATTTTAAAGTAAGGAGGTGCAAACCCGTTTAAGAACCCATATTACCCGTCAACGTCAAACCCGTTTAAGAAACCCATAAAACCCGACCTGGATCCAACGGAAGAAAATCTGGTTACCACAACAAATGCTTGACCTTTTTTTTGGACTATGAGAACATGCACTGTTACCGTCACACCACATAAGTCGAAAAGATCCTACACGAAGACTCCATTTTCGAAAAGAAAGAAAACCCCATAAGAAATTGAGGAGAACGAGAGATGGTGGGATAAGTTTTGAGCCTGCCCGGCTGTTAATTTTATGAACTGAGCTCATCAAATTTCTGATAAAATTAATGAAATGGAATCGAAACCGAACTCGATTCCGTATCGATGGGAAGATCGGAAATTTTGGCAGGCATTGTACAGAAGTCATGGACAGGCAAAAACGGCGAAAACGAGAACAGGGGAATATTTCCCACCGGCCACCGACCCTGTGTACAGAAATCAACAAGAAAAACACCTCGTGAGGCTACAAGAGTTGCCACTTGTTTGCTACCAATTGGAGACAAGCTTCATCAGACAGCAGCTTCGAAGTACGTGTAAAGTAACCATAGCTTCTTTATTAAACAACTCCTTGGACGAGGACGGGTGTCCACAAAGCCTGTACATAAATTAGTCGGTTGGAACTTGTATTGGGGCTGAACTGAATGGGAGTCGATTGACCGCTTAAGACAAAGAAAGAAAAATTATGGAAGATGGTGT